GTCAACCCCCTTCCTCATCCTTTGTGCGTACCACCCCCCCAACAGACAGGCACCATCAGCATGCTCGCTTCCACGTTCACCCCCTCCCCCCTCCTCCCCCCTTGACCCCTTCCCTCTTCCCTCTCCCCATCCATGCACATCAGCATGCTTGATCCCCCTTCACCCCTTTCCTCCCCTCCCCTCCCACATCAGCATGCTCGCTTCCCCCTTAACCCCCTTTCCTCCTCCCCTGTCCACCCATCCCCACCTACATCAGCATGCTCGCTCTCCCCTATCTCCCCCCCCCCACATCAGCATGCTTACTCGCCCCCTTCACCCCCTTTCCCCTCCCCTGTTCGCCCCCCACACAAGCATGCTTACTCCCCCCTTCACCCCCTCCTCTCTCTCCCCACCCATATCAGCATACTCGCTCCCTCTTAACCCACCCCTCACCCACATCAGCATGCTTACTCCCCCTTTCACCCCTTTCCCCCACACCTCTCCGCCCCGACATTAGCATGCTTACTCCCCCCCCTTCACCCCTTCTCACCTCCTCTCTCCCCCACCCACATCAGCATACTCGCTCCCCCCTCCACCCACCCCCTACCCACATCAGCATAATCGCTCCCCCCCTTCACCCACCCCCCACACACATAAGTATACTCGCTCTCTCCCTCCACATCAGCATGCTCCCCCCCTCCACCCACCCCACCCACTCAGCATGCTCGCTCCCCCTCCACCCACCCCACCCACATCAGCATCCACCCACCCCACCCACATCAGCATGCTCGCTCCCCCCTCCACCCACCCCACCCACATCAGCATACTCGCCCCCCTCCACCCACCCCACCCACATTACTCCCCCCCCCTCCACCCACCCCACAATCAGCATGCTCGCCCCCCTCCACCCACCCCCACCCCCCATGCTCGCCCCTCCACCCCACCCACATCAGCATGCTCCCCCTCCACCCACCCCCACCCACATCAGCACTCGCCCCCCCTCCACCCACCCCACCACATCAGCATACTCGCCCCCCCTCCACCCACCCCACCCACATCAGCATGCTCGCCCCCCCTCCACCCACCCCACCCACATCAGCATACTCCCCCCCCTCCACCCACCCACCCACATCAGCATGCTCGCCCCCCTCCACCCACCCCCACCCACATCAGCATAATCACTCCCTCCTTCACCCACCCCCCACCCCACCATACTCGCTCCCCCTCCACCCCACCCCACCCACATCAGCATGCTCGCCCCCCTCCATCCACCCCACCCACATCAGCATGCTCGCTCCCCCCTCCACCCACCCACATCAGCATGCTCGCCCCCCTCCACCCACCCCACCCACATCAGCATACTCGCCCCCCACATCAGCATACTCCCCCTCCACCCACCCCCACCACATCAGCATACTCGCCCCCCTCCGCCCACCCCACCCACATCAGCATGCTCGCTCTACCCTGTCTGAACTGCCGGCCATCGATTCCCGTACGAGCTCTCAAGCCTCTTCCAGCATCCCGCCCATCATTCATCAACTATTGTGCTAAAATCTGAGCTCCGGGCTTTACCGGGCCGATACATAGGCAGCGGAAAATGGGGGTTTCGTGTTTGTTATTTTTCGCGTTGTTATTTTCCCCAATCTATTTCATTTCGATGTTCTTCCTTTCTTGTCCATCCCCTCCCATTGTTTTTTTATTGTTGTTCTTGTTCTTTTTCTGCTTTCCTTTCTTTATCAATTTACGTATACTTTCCCTTTTCTTTCTTTTTCTTTTTCTTCCCATTTTTATTTCGTTTTTCGTTTTATTTTTCTTTCTATATTTCTCTCCTCTTTTCTATCTTGATTTCCATTTATTTCTTAACTTCTTTTCTTTTCTTTCTTTTTTCTTCCCTTTCACCTTCACATTCTCTTCCTCTTCCACTTCCTCCACCTTCTTCTCTTCCTTCTCCGCCTCCTTCCATAACTTTAACCTTTACTCCTTCCCCTTCTTCCTCATAATCCTTCCCTTCTGCTTCGCCCTCTCCCTCCTCCTTCCCCTTCTCCTTCGCCTCAACCACAACGATAAGGCGAAAGGTGGAGTGTCCCATTGATCCAACACAGCGGGCGTGTATGTATGAGAGTGTATGTGCGTGTGCGTGTATGTGCATGTGTGCGCGTAAGAGAGAGAGAGAGGCTCTACTCTGAAACGCAACAAGATCTCCCACCTTAATTGCTCACGTGGCACTCGGCGGCACCGGAAAGGCACCGAGAGAGCAGGGAGCGACGGCCGGGTGGCTCCGGCATTGTCTTTGTCCCCGGTCCTCTTTGCGCTCGAGACAACTCTCTTGTTACCACTTATTATCTTTCCCTAAACACTTTTCTTTTTCAAGAGCAACGAGTGGCGAGGAGGAACGCCACGCAACGCACGCTCTGTCCCTCACCTGTCCTCACTCCCTCCGTCATCAGCATTTCCTGCCCATCATTAAAAATGTCAAATTCATGCCGACAATTGGATTCACCCCATTAGTCACCCGCCGCGAAAGCACCGCAATCGGGATAATAGCCTGGGTGCCATGCTGCTTGACCTTGACCTTTGTGGACGACGCCGCGCGGTCTTCGCTCTCCTGGATAATGAGGGAAACAGAAACAGGCTTCCAGGCTTTGCGGACTATCAAACTTTCAGCGCTAAGACCTAATTAGACGACTGTTTTCATTGTCATTATCATTAATGCCGAGCTGATGATCAGATCATTATTCTTTTCATCATCATCATCATTATTACTGTTCTGGTAATGAATACCATTACTGTCATCGTCATTACCGTTAATATGATGACCTTGAAGGGGTTACCTCTCTGAATTTAACTTTACCCCTCTCCGAGATTTGTTAACCTCCCTGAAATGTTAATGTTTTATCTGTTAATTAAATCAATCAACCTGACAGCGGTTTCATCCACCCCTGAAACCTTCCCCCAAATCCGGCCCTGGTTGTGCCTTCTGCTCCAACTGCTTGCTGGAAGGAAGGTTCCAACGAGCTCTTTTCGTAAAGTTCCAAACAAAGAAATCAATTCCTGATGTTTTCTACATAAGTAGTTTCCTTTGGTAAAATTTCTGATTTGCTTCTGTACTTCCTCTCTCCTCCCTAGCGACTAATATTCATTTCGTCTCTAAAGCGTTCTAAATATTGCTGTTTGGCGTTTTTAAGGTCGTGGAGTACCTACTAGCAAGGTATTCTGTTTTACTTTAAATAGTTCATCATAATTATCTTTACTGAATATCAGTATCATCATCATCAATATTACTATCACTGTCAGTGTCACTCACATTGCCACTGCCATTATTATTGTTACTGTTGCCATTATCATTATGAATATCATTATTACTATATAAATATCATCATCATCAGTAGCAGAATCATTATCACCCTTAACATTGACAATAATATCATCACTACAATTGCCATCACCATTACCGAAATTAGCATCATCATTACTTCTTTCTGTCCCCCTCACCCGATGCTCACCTTGGGCCTACGATACAAACCCAAAGCAACAGCGTCCCGCGAGCGAGCGAGGCCGAGCGAGGCCGACCCAGACCCTGCTATCAATAACCGCTGATTACGCGGCCAGCCGACAAGACCATCATCCCGGGAGGCCGAGGATAAAACCGTCGCCAAATCCAGATTAACCACAACCAATTTCCCTGAGTGTGGCATGATAAATAGGCAATGCTGTCGCCGTATCCCACCTACCCATCCGCCGCTGCCCTCATCAACACCGGGCTAAAGCTGTGATGCCAGCGCCGGACCTGCTCCTATTCCTGCTCCTGCTGCTGCTCCCCCGCGCTCCCCGTCGGCCATTACTCGACTGCAATTCTCAACCGAGTTATTCCGCGTCCTACCCCCTACGCCACGACCACGCCGACCCATCCCAGTGAACAACCATGACGCCCAAACCGGACCATAAGAGCAGCACACCGGCCAACACCCTCCCCACAGCATGCGCATGACCCAGCCGCCGCCGCCGCCACCCGCGCGCCGGCGAGACAACCACCGATCATGCACGGGTCCGCCTGGATCGGGTAGTCGATGAGGCGAGTCAGGCAATGGTCCGCGAGGATTAATTCCGAGGCCGGAAGCGCCCTCTGCCGGAGCCAAGGTGGAGGCATGCTACAGTTCCTGGGGGGGGGGTCCATGAGGAATAACAAAACAATATTCCGCGTTGGTAAAGGGATGGAATATGCACTAGGCTCAAATTAGGTTTATTGAAAGATAAGGCAGTTTATGTATATTGGATTCTTCTGGCATGCCTACGCTGCAAAAGACGGTGGTTGGATATTTGCGACCGGGGCAAATAACTGATGAGACCTCGTACAAAGGAAATTTAAGGGGCTCAATAACAAATGGGGTATGCATGAATCCAAATGAAGTTGTAAACTAACGGAGTCCGGAGAATTCCCGATGACGGCCCCAGATGGCTACAGCTTTAGTCCAGAAACATTCGGCGAAGAGAAAGAATCTGGGGCTCCAAGAATCCAACCGCGCTCGATAAAACTTTTTTTCTTCAACTTCTGCTTCTCCTACTTTCTATTCTTATCAATATTATGATGATTTTCATTTTCATTATCATCATTATTGTTATCATAATTATCATTTATGATATCGTTTTAGTAGAAGTTGTATCATTAATGTTATTATCATCCACCACACCTTCCCCTTCTCTTTCCCATCCCTTTTCTTCCTTTTTTTCCCTTCCCCTCCATCTCCCTCTTCTCTCTCTCCCTTATCCTTCTCTCCATCCAGGAGTAACAGAAGCGTACCCAAAAGATCAAGACATAATTCTGGCATACCAAGGACCCTACCTACAACAGCGCCGTACATCCAAAGCATTCCTCCAGAAAAGTCCGCTATATATAGACTGCAGACCAACCCCCCAAATATCAAACGAATATATCCCTTTCCAAACTTCCCCTTCCGCGGGGCTCTCCGCCAACATCGCCGGTGGAAAAAAGACGAAAAAAAAAAAAAGGACGTCTCACTTACCATTTCGGAGTCGCTGTGAGAGCCAGTTCATGATACGAGGCTGTGAACTGGAACTTGGCAGCTTTCTTGTTGATGCGCTGGAACCTCTTCCACACGGAGCCCATCCCAGCGCCGGACCTGGACG